TATATAGTTTTGATCGAAACCACAGCTTAGAAAAAGAAAGAAAAATATTTTGAACAAATAACTATTAAATTATAAAAATTATTTTTTCTTTTTATTATTATTCAATAAATAAATTCCTTGACTATTGATCAACAATAAACCTTTTGCATGAATAACAGAAAGAAATAATTATGAACAAATAAAGCTCGAGCTTAAAAGTAAAAAACATCATCAGCAAATCATAAATAAATTGGTTTTTTACTTTTAGTTTGAAGATAATTGAGATGTGATGATAATTAAGATGTATTTAAGGGAAACAATTAACCAAAAGTATCAAGAAATTGTAATTTTGGACTTGAGATAAAATGAAGAAGTATAGCTGTCACGACAAAAGTTCCAATGTGGTGATAGGTGTGGCCCGTAACTTGGTCTACAGGGGATCGTACCAGTCGTCCTATAATTTCTCATGTCTCCTGACTAAGCATTTCCTATCAGAGCACGGTTGGTACGCGTATTGCTCGGTGAATTGCTAGCACTTCCCTTCCCACAACTAACCCTCTCTGCACTCAGTCACTCTCACCCCATCTTCTAGTTGGTGCCACTTAACCAGCTCCTGTCCCATCAGCATGGTAGTGCTCCCTCTGGCGTTTGGCTCTCAGGCGTTATTGCCACTACCATCTTGTCCGATTGCTTTTTGGCGTGATCGACCCTTACTAATTGCTCGTCATACTGTATATCTTGGTTAGAAAATATGCATTACTCTCCATCTACATGTTTCGCTCAATAACAATAAATTATTATCTTTTCAATAAAACTTGATTCATGTCTTTCAGAAAATATTCATTCATAGTTATTGAGGAATTTTCTAATTTTAACATCGATATTTTATTTCTTAAAAAAAAAAGAAATGCCAGTAAATCATAGAAATATCTTTCATTGTAACTTCATGCGTAAGCGAATATCAAAATCGAAGAGAAAATGATGCGTGTAATTGTATTTTTTTTTCTACAACTTGGTGGAGATAATAAAAATACTTTCCACAGTTCATAGCCGTAACTTAATAACAGTGGAGAAAGTTATAAAATTTTAAATAGCATCATTAAATCGAGATCCACTTGATGAAGTTTCGTTACACCCAAGAAATTTGCTATCTCATTAGAATATCGATTGGAAGTGAAATCGAGTGTATAATCAGAATATTCATCATTACGGTTAGGAAGGATTATTATTTGAAATGATAAAAATAATTTTGAGCCAATAGTTTTTCTATTTTTTCAACAATTACCTATTCGAAATTAACAGATTTAAAATAGAAACACTTCCAAAAAATTAAAATTATTTCTAATACTTGAATATTTTATTTTGATAGAAAAAAAAAATTAATTATTGAATAGAAAACTCTTCTCCGTTAAGATTTGTTTATAGGAATACTTTAAATAATTCCTACAACTATACATTTTTTTTTAGTGTAGTTTTTTTATTTTTAGTCAAGACCTTTAGACTTTTGAAGATGAGAAAAAATGCAGAATAAATTTTCATAGTCTTTAATTTAACTTTAAACGTAAGCAATTTGGATGAAAAAGTTTTCGTTACCTATATGAGTATTTATAAGAGTAGTTAGAAGTCATATAATAATTTTAAGCACAAAGGACATAGAGGACGACGTATAGCAAAGCGTCATGTAAAGCAGGAAACGACGCGCAACCACACTCGTGATCTCGTTCTCGAAACAATTACAACTATGCTTGAACAATTTATAATTTTAAGCTTCTAACCCGTTCTGGTCTGTATTCCGACAGTCTAACCACTCTCTCGTACGACGCGCGTCGGTTAAACGTTATTACTTCAGCCTCTACGGATAATTTCCCTCATTTGTTCGTCGGTACTGTGCTCATACCACTGAGTTGCGAATTCGCAGTGCACGTACGAGTTGAGTTCGCTTATGAACGAGGGCCACCTTCAACACCAGGAGGGAAACTCGAACCTAATTCGTAGAGTTACAAGCGTGTTCCTCATTGTACCAAGTGGCAAAAGAGAAATAGAAGTAGACAAGAGACACACTCAAAACTTGCGATTTATTAAGTAAATAAAATTATCAAGTTAGGATGATGTCAGAATTTCTCATAAATTTCAAGTGAAATATTTCCCCTGAATATTTCTTCAAACTATTTTTTTTTATATGTTTAAGGAGCAAAAAAAAAATAGAATTTATTCTTGATAAATTTTAATAGAAAGGAGTTGGTAAAGGCATGAACAAATCGAGTTAAAAAATACTTAGATTGTGGATAGTGAATTTTTTTTTATTATCATTAAAGAATACTTGCTATTGATTTAACGTAAATTTCGAGTTGCTGTTATTGACAGTTGTTTTATGTACCATGTTAACGTTTTTTTAAATCCAAAGTTCAACAATTTATGTTGCTTTTAAGATACTGTGGGTTATTGCAAAAAAATTGATATCAAATGTTGCCGGAAAATATTGAAAATTACTTGACGATAAAATTAATGAAAAAGAAATATCTTAAAGGTGATATAAAAGACACACATTTATGTTAGAAATAGAAAAGATTGTAGGAAGTGAGTAAAAAGTGATTATCTAATCGTTATAACCCTATCGACTTCTATTAAAGTCTTTGATTCATTTCACCAATGTGCTGAGAAATAAAGTTTGTGTGTGAATCAGCCAAGGGATGAAAATAAAGAAGTTATCAGGTTACGATTTCAGAGAGAAGATAAAATGGAAAAATAAGATGAGAAGAAACTGGTCTTTGAGATCTGGCGATGGAAGTAAATCCACGCGGAGTTGAGCGAAGATTCTCAGCAGTGGTAAGACGAAATCTGTGGACCTAGACCACGGAAGCTAAATCAGACTAATCCCGTAGCCCCTGAGTCTTATACTCCACCCTCTTTCCCGTCCGTATATCTTCAACTCTCATCTCTTGCCCTTGTTCCCCCTACCAACATCTACTATATCTATCTCTCCTACCAGACTTTTGCGCTATCTCTTTGTGTCACTTCCGTCTTTTGGACACGCAATTACGAGCCTGAAGAGATTTTCTGGACATCCTGAACCTCCTAATCGTATCTAAAAATCTTTATGAAAACTTTGTAATAAAAAAAATTTCTTTATCTTTAATCATTCAGAAAAAAAACAACATCTCCTTTCTGAGTTTATTTTTTTCTACTTAAATATTTACAATAACAAAGAACGTCTCTTCTGTAACAACAAAAACAATTTTCCAAGGTATTTAAAAAAATGTTATTAAAAGATATAATCCACGTTTATTATCAAGTTGTGAGTTCTTATTTTCTCAACAGTGTAGACTCCTAGAGCTTTAAGTAGGTGGAACGGTTGAAAAATGACTGGAAAAAGACATCTCTATTGATGGAGAATGTGCAACGGAATGTTGAAAAAAAATAAAGAAAATGAAAAAAAAAAGAAAAACAAAAAGTAAGGGTCAGACTTTCTTACAGTATGGATCGAAAAGGAAAGCTAGGAAAGTGCTCACAAGTGTAACGAGGGAAAACGTCGCCGAGAAAAAGAAGTTTGAGTTCCTATATCTATATTTCCTTTTTCTTTCTTGAAACTCTTGGAAAAGAGCTTGCGGTAATCAGTGTTGAATTCCCAGAGCGAATTCATTTAATTGAATTTTGTGAAGCGTATTAACAAGTGACGTGACCCTTGACCTCAAACGTTAACTACACTTTTCATTTGGCTTTGGTTTTGTTCGATTGTGTCGATCGTCAATATAATACCTTATTATTCTTAAGCTTTATTTTATCTTTCACAATGAGAAAAAAAATTATGTTAAATGGTAGCTAATGATTTTTTTACAGTTTTTTTTTTTATCAGCAAATAATTCTTTTCTATTTGACAAACACCTTAAAAAAGGTTTTGTTTATTTTCCTTAAATGAAAATAGTATTTGTTACAAATTTATTTATAAATTAGACTGAATGGCAATTTTTTATTGTTTTATTCAATAAATCGGTTACTATTTTCTCTGAAGCGTATTCCTTTATTAGTGAGGGAAATAATTTAAAAAGAAAACAGAGTACAAATAAACGTAGAAGAAAAAAAGACAATGTTGCAATCAAAAGCTCTCAATTCAGTAGTAAAACATAGAATAAACATTGCAGAAAGTATTAGAGTGTAAGTCTTTTCAATCGATAATTGAAGTTAAGTATAAGTTTTCATTGTCTTGATTGGAATAATAAATAAATTTATTTATAAATTCGATTGTCTGGTAGAGAATTCACGCCTTTGGAAGCTCGATGTACAAAATGGAATGGAAAATCCCCAAGCTCAATCCTTATACACACTGAGTTGAAAATGAATCCTCTACTCACAGTTCCTTTCTTCCAAATACCCTGAGTGTATTCAAGAAAGAAAAGAATAAGATCGAATAAGAATTGTAAGGATTCAGAAGCTGGTGGTGAGTTTGAACGAATAAAAGTGGACCAAGGCGAAGGACGAATTGTAGTGAATGAAAAAGCTCCTAGTCATGGAAAAAAGCTACGTAGTTCTATTGAATGTGGTTCCGAGAGTTGACCATTAGATATTGTTCAGATTTTTGTGGGTGATTTTGAACGGAAGTCTACAATATAGCGGAAACTCAATGTGCTTGTGGGTACACGCAAGACGTCCCCGAGGACAAAGAAGTGAGAAGGTACACACTTTGTATACTGAAGAAGGTCGGAGAATACTTGGAAAAGGTGGCTGCACGTGCGACAACAAGACCAAGGATCAAGAATCGCATTGTTGCCTTGGTAGAGGGAAAGTGAAGCTAATATACGACACTCAAGACTTGTAGACTAAAGAAGGAGAGATGAAAAGGCTCTAAGTACGTGACCAGTAAGCCAAAGAGTATAGCCGTTTACTTTCGTCCTCTTCAACGCCTCTGAGCTTGAAAAAGCATCATTCTTTTAATCCTACACCCGACTTTTTGCTATTTATTCTACTCGTTTTCTTTGTTTCACTTTCTCGGCTTTTGTTTCAACTGTAGTTGTTACATTACTTACCACCCAGTAGAAACAACCCGCAAGCTATCACGGTCTTATGATCAGCATAACAGTGGCCAATCATTGCGGAAAATGTACCAGCAAGAATCAGAGCTGCTGCTGCTAGTTGAAAAGGTGCTGATATTCTGCAACAAATTATTTCATTTCTTTTTTTAACATTGTCTCTTTTTGGTTTCATTTTTTTTAATGAAATGTGAAGGCATGTAAATGAAAAATAAATGGAATTTATTTATTAATATTTTTGTTAAATAGTAGAGGATGGGTGGGCAAAGTAAAACGCTCGAGAAAATGTACCAATTTATTAAAAGAATTTAAAAAACGCTCATTGTAATTTTTGTTTATCAATTTTTCAATTTATTAATGCATAAAAATTTATTAAAATTTTTTAATTTAATGGATAATTTGTTGATTTAAATTTTTTCGTGGTGTTTCACTTTATCCCTTCTTTCTCTATAATCTTTTCTCTTTGATCTCAAATTTACTTTATAAAGAAAATTTGTTTTTATAAAGAAATACTTTATATTTTACAGAATAAATCAATAAATAATAAATTATATGTAATCAATACAAGTAAAATTGATATTGAATAAATGAAATGTGATCAATACAATAAAGGAAGTACTTTGATTAATATATTTTTATCAACTAGAAAAAATAATAACATCATGGACAATGAATTTTTAATTAATATGTAATTGTTATAAATAATCTAGGTAAAGTAAGTGTATTTGATAAAAGCATTTCAGTGTTGAAATATCTCCTCAATTAAATTAGAAAAATTAAATAATTTATCATAGAGTTTATTATGAAAATGTCCTACTTTTTATGTTTATTTTATTATCATTTTATTTTTTCTCAAAAACTTTTCTCATTTTCAAGGAGAGTTAAGTAGAGAAAACTTTTGTACGTACTCAATTTACTAATTTACTCATATTAGCGTAAAGGAAAGCAGAAAGCTAGTATGAATTACCAGTCATACATACATATGTTCTGTACCCAAGTGAATAAATAAACGTCGCATTATCTTGTAAAATATCAACATAAATTCCTTTAGCACAAGTGAGAGAAAAGACTCACGTGAGAATAAAAATAAAAAATAATGAAAACAAAACAAAAAAGAAATTTAAACAAGAGCAAAGAGGAAACCGAAGAAAATAAACTGAAAAAATCTTGCCGCGAGCACGCGGATACATTCACTATAATAATTTTCTTCATTGTTAACTGTGTCGTGTAGTCGGTAGCTTCGTCGTCCAGAGCATAAAGGAGAGAGAGGAAAAGGAAGATTCGAAAAGTGAGACGTTGTATTCAGATGAAGACGTAATACATGTATTTGTATTGAAGCAAATGGAGTGCATCTAGTTTTCTTTTCTTCTCTTTTGCCACTAGAGATTTTTTCTCATGACGTTTTGGTTTTATGAAAATTTTACGCCCCATTATTGCAACTTTTCCACCATTTTAGTGAATGAGTTGAGAAAAAAACATTTTCATTCACCAAGGTGGAGAAAAAAATTGCTTGTAAAATTTTTTTTTTTTTAGAGTTGATATAAATTTCTCAATAGACGCTTTGAATTTTGACATTTATTTTGATATTTATCATGTTTACAATAGTTGATAAGAAAAGATAAAAATAGGGCATTCAAAAAAAAAAAAAAAATGATTAATGGATAAATTTTAAATAATGACATCTGCAAAAATCAGATAATTTCTATAAAAATAAAAAGATTCGTCAGAATAAAATTGCACTGATTTTACTTTATATTAATAATAAATATTATACAAATATACACATATTTAAATACTCGAAATATAAGTGAGGATGAGAACAAAAAGTTTCCCTTGACATAATAAACAGTAAAATTTATTTTTTATTAACTCTACTCATCGTAATGAAATTTCATTTCATTTATTTTAACTAAAAAAAAATCTCTCCAGTAATTTATTATTTAAAAAACTGCATCCTTAGCATTGCAAATTTACGAAAAAAGATAAATATGACTAACCAAGTTTTTAATTAAATTAAAATTCAGAAAAAATTTATTAAATTTTTATTTTCGTGTGACCTAAATCATTAAATACACATTTCCATCATTCACCCAACAAACAATCTAAGTTTTACTCAATCAATATTCCATCAATATTCACTAATAAAACTTAATAAACAATGATTGACATAGAAATGAACGAGATACCTGAAAGCGATTATTGCAACAACAAAAATCGCAGCAAAAAATCCCTTTCACATTTCATCGAATTCTTTTCTCATTTTCATGTGTTAGGCTGATAATCCAAGCGACCACAATTTGAGGAATTATCGAAACTGTTGCAGATATCGTTGGCAGTAGTGTCCATACTGAATTCAAGCCCCTGGTGAGCTTTACGTCACTTACGCGTGGACGTAACCAGGCCGAGCTCGTTAATAACGCGACGAAGCTCGCACACGCGCATCCGTTGTCACAGTAAATAACAATAAAACTCTATTAACGTGGTAGTACTAGTAGTTACCGTTTCTGGCAGTCAGCCAAGAACATACCGACGTGGCTATTCACCCTGTGGAATACACATCTCTGCAGTATACCTTGCTGAGACTGCTGCATCCTTGCACCTTGAGCATATTCTCCAACTGTTCCTCTACTCCATGTTCTCTCTGTGATCTACCTTGTACGTATACCAATACACCATCCCAAACTATCCTCAGTTTACTTCATAACTGTTCTTGAATCTAGAAATGCACACGCAAATCTTGTATAATTTAGAATGGTTGTGAAGCTTCATGCGGATTTTGCATTTCTCTAAACCGTACAAAATCATTTCTTCTTATGTTCATGAGTAAATGGAAGCTCTGCCAAGTAGAAAGAGAGTAAACTCAAAACTTTTGTCTTTCCTTAATGCGCTTTCATGTGAAAGCAAATGCATACTCGTTGGTGTTGGTGGTGCTGCTACGATAGAAAGGTGGTGATAGAATTTTCAAGAAGTTGCATAAGATGTTCGTGTGAAGTTATAATGACATGAATAAGACAGCGTAAATGTTAGCTATCAGACATCTAATTCGTTTTGCATTTATCATGACGTGACAGTTAAAACTCTTCAAACTACTAGAATTATTTATCGCGAATGGAGAAATGGTTTTCAATATTACAACAGTGAATTTTGATTTTATTTATTTAAGATAAACTTTTAAAATGTTTTTAAAACTTTCACTTCCAATTTTACATTTGTTTTTTTAATGACATAAATCATTGGAAATCTTTTCTAAAAATAGCTATAAATATTGAATAACACTAGAATTAAAAAATGTGAAAAAATTATTGAGAATTTTCGAGATATGATATTTTCTTTTTTATTTTTTCTATAAAACAAGCAATCGTTGATTCAACACTCCGTGGCTATCCTGAGGTCCTAGAGGTTCCACTAGATTGGAAAAAACCAGCAAAAAAATTTTTCCAATATTTTTTTTTTCGATCGGTGGAAGAAGGCCGTTCAGTTTAAGCCAAAAAATGGCTACTGAGGCGTTGCTGACCACAGCATAGTCATTGTGTAGACACATTGCCACTGAAGATTGAAATTAATTTTTTACTCCAAAAAGAAAACAAAAGACTCCACAGTACAAAAAATATTAAAGCCCATTTTTTTGGAAAGAAAACTAGATTTGAATGATTTTATCGTTATAATTAAAACCAGTTAAATTTTTCATCAAAAGTCAACAGAATGTAACCTAGTAATAAATCTATATCTCAGATAAAAAAAAACGATTTGTTTGCTCAATGTTATTTTTAGCTAGAAATGTAACAATCGGTTATTGACAAATATCGTTTTTATATCTTTCAATTCGATCGCAATCTCTCTCGAGACGGAATAAAGGACCAAAACGAATAAGCTTCGTAGATCCTTCAATAATATAAGGTCAAAGAAGTAAAAAGTAAAAAACAAAAATTGTAGAGCTAGATTTCTAATAAAAGAAAACTCCAACACTCCAATATTATTGTGAAATTAGATTTCTCTATAGTATCCTTACAATTGTTTCTCTTCTCTGCTATACAATTGAAGCAGACATGAAAAATAAATTTAATTTCAATATCAAAAGTTCGCCCATTTCTCACACCAATGAACTAGAAAAAAAGTCAATGAAGGCACGAAAAAAAAAAGATATTTTTAAATACTATGCTATAGAAACAGGTAATTTACGGTAAGACAGGTTTGGAATTTCAATTACATTGGCATTATTTTAAGAATTGGCGTACTCTCAGTCAGACACGTTTTGTAATTTGCATTAAACGAAACAAAGAGTAATAAAAATAATGAAATTGAAAATTCTCTGACAATACTTAAACAATTTCTGAGATCATCCTAGTGGTTAAAATAATGGTAGAAACGCGGTAAATGTCCGATTAAAATTTCACCAATTAATCGATAATCTTTTCGGGGATTGATGTGAAACGTTTCATTACTACTAAATGAGGCTGATCGTGATAGTCTATTAGTACTACAGAATTTCTGATATATTACAGAATGCAGCTGCCAAACTATCAGCCTTCCATATAGTTGACCAACGAGCTTTCCAATATTCCATGGTCAGCCAGAATAGCTCTTCCTCTTTCCTTGCTTTAGCCAAAACTATTAATTTTCAACCATTGTGCTGGTTCGTGCGTTCGACGAATAATTTCATTTTCGTTTGACCGTAAAGTAGATGCAAAAGGGCTTGAAATTAATTATTATATATTGCTTGACTACTACGTATGGTAGTCTCTAATTTTATTTGTCTCTTCATTCTAGCTTGTCTGCAATTAATACTTTTAATAACATTCCAGTGTGGGTAATGAACAATTTATGTTCTCATTTGGTTTAGAGATTTTTGTTAATGGAAATGTTTTGAGTATTTATGGTGAAAATAACTTTTTGCTTTTAGATAGTTTATAACTCAACAGAAATGCTATTATTGTTTGATAAAGAATGAATTAAAAGCTTAAATGATAACGATCAAATGATACTTTTGCATTTGCTGAATTTTTTATTTTAATCTTTACATAGGCTTTTACAGTTCATAAAAAAATTACAGACTTTTTCCACTTTTTTTCGATGGATGATTTTTTTTTTTATTGAAGTGTTTGAATTGTCAAGCGTTTTTTAG